TGAAGCCAAAATGATTTTTCTCACAAGCAAATCTGGGAGTGACCTAGGTATCCCCATTCTCAAGATTCCTCAGGGAGTATACATGATTTATAAATAAAACCCACTCGTCATCCTGGCAGGACCTAACATGATCAGACACCTGCCTACCTGACCCAGCATGATTTCCAGTCACTGACTAGCTATCCCTGTCCTAGGACACGATGCTCTAGCAAAACTCAAGTAGTTGAAGTTTCTGAGCATGTCTGGTTTTCACACGCCTCCACACTATGTACAATTTGTTCCCTCAGATGGGAATGCTGTCCATGTGACAAACTCCTACTCATCTTGCAGCTCTCAGCTGAAGCACAAGCCCCTCTGTGGAGGCTTTCTGGACACCCACCCCAACCCCACCCCAGCAGAGTAGCCGTATAATTCTTAAGAGAATCTTTTAACTGCACTGAGCCTCATTTCCTAAACTCTAATATGGAGATAGAATTAGGCACATAATAAGCACCAAATAAATAATGTCTTGAAGCACTGGCGGCTCAGTGGTGTGTAATTCTTGCCTTCCACGTGGGACACCTGGGTCTGATTTCAGGCCAATGTTCCTCATGCAAAGCCACTACTTGTCTATCATTGGAGGGTTGGATGCTGCTATGATGCTATGATGCTGAACACGTTGCAGTGAAGCTTGCACACTAAGATACTAGAAAGAGAGGCCTGGCAGTCTACTTTGAAAATCAGCCAATGAAAACCTTATCAAGCACAATGGTTGATCCTGTTGTACATGGGGTTGCCACTAGATAGAAGCTCACAATAACAACAATACTTGATTATTTGTAAATATGTCCCACCATAAGACAATAAAGCTCTTGAGGGGAAACACCGGCCCTGATCTATTTATCCTTTGTGTCTATGTCTGAAATTTTGCAGATGTTCAATATTATACATGTTCTTTCTGTCTCTCTTTCTTCAAAGACAGAGGGTATAGATCTGATAAGAAACTGAGAGTAAAATGTCATGATAGCCAAAATCAGGGTACTAGCAGCTACCATTCATTAAGCACTTATTAAATGTCAAGCTCTTTATATATGTTATCTCATTTATTCTTTATAAGAACATGCAGTGGACATTGGAATTCTATAAATGAGGAAAATAAGGTCGAGTGAAACTAAGTAAATTGCTTTTACAAACACCAGTTAATATAAAATAAGACAGTATTCAAAACAGTCCAAAGTGTTTGCTCTTTCCAGTACACCTCAGTGCCCAGCAGCAGGAAGTGGGCTCCTATCCATCTTTGTAGCCTGGACTCTGGCAGGCTCCCTAGTACCTTGTAGACATGTAATAAAACTTTGTGGCATGTATGCCTGTGTACAGGAACAGGTATTTGGATGCCTGGTCTGGCCCAAGATCCAGAATGCCCCCAAACTGCCTTGGCACTAGCACTGTGTTATCAGTCTCCCCATCCCTTCAGGTCTTTATTTTCCCACCACTGACAGATTTCCTAGTCAATTGAGACCACACTTCTCTTGCAACCAAACGTTGTGAGCATAAACTGTCCTTAGTAAAACAGCTTCTTTTTCTATACTGCTGTCTGTGTTTGAAAGTTCTTGCCATTAACATGACAAAACCAGGCGAAAGAAGGGCTGTTTATGCACAGGGAGACAGCTCAGGGGGCAAGAGTGCCTGGAGGGATGGACACAGGGAAGAGGTAACTATCGGAAGCAAGGGGAGGGGAACTGTTGCATTGGGGTAAATTGCAGTCAATGTCATGAGACAAAGTGTATGTGAACTGTTGTATGGAAATTGAATTTGCTCTGTAAATTTTCACCCAAATCACAATTTAAAAAAAAAATGCCAAAACCAAACTCACTGCCATTGAGTTGATTCCAATTTATAGCAACCCCCACTGGATTTCCAAGTGGTAAATCTTTATGGAAGTAGATTGTCCAGTCTTCCTTCTGCAGAGTGGCTGGTGGGTTTGAACTGCCAACCTTCTGGTTAGCAGTCAAATGCCTTTGGCACTACACCATCAAAGCTCCTTTCTATACTGCTGGCTTTGTTTGAAAGTGCCTCCCATTGGATGACTTTATTTAATCACGTTTGGGGGACTTGAGAAAACCTAACAATTGTTCCAGTTTGTCATGAACCTCGGAGCTAGTGGGTTTTCAGAGTACTCCCGGCTTCTTCACCCAGAGAAGCATGAAAATGGAAAAACGTCCCTGCTATTCCATTACACACACACAGACACACACACACATTCATTGGGGAAGTTACCTATTTTGCTTAATATGGGAAACCTGGGGGCAGAAGCGGGCAGTGAAATCCCTATCTCTGAGACAAATCCTCATTTATCAATAATTTGATTCTTGTCTTAAAGTCAACACTTTTCCTTTATGCTCAGAAGACAACTGTCTCTCTGCACCCATCTACCCTCTGACTTTGTCATGGCTCCAAAGATCATCATTAGCATGTAACACTGACATAAGAAAAATAAATTCTCAGAAGCCCTTGGGTTCAGACACTATATTGAGGCATTTCACCCACTGCTGTAATGTGGACATTCTTTAAGCTACAGAAGAGCAGCTATTTTGTTTCTAAATACTATATCCATTCTGAGCCTTGTGTGAGGACCATAAAGAGAAAAAGCAGTGCTTCATTTAACTAGTTGAAAGTGCATCTTATACTGATGGATTATAACACTGATTTTTACAACAGGAAAAGTCAATGTTATATTTTTGCCTACTCTTATATAACCATGTTTCATCATATATTTGAACACATGTTTGGAAAATCAGGAGCAACCCAGAAAAGGGCCCTTATTAGCCATTAGAACCTGATCAATCTCTGTCCATGACAATAAGACCTGTCCTACTTGCTTCCCAAGGTCCATGGGTGGTGCAAACTGTTAACCACTCAGCTACCACCAAAAGGTTGTGGCTCAGTGGCTCTAACCCACTGAGGGGCACCTTGGAATACAGGCCTGACAATCTGCTTCTGAAAGGTCTTGAAAACCCTATGAAGCAGTAGACAGAGCTCTACTCTGTCACATGCAGTTGCTATGAGTGGGAATCAACTTGACAGCAACCAGGGCTTTGAACTGGTTTGAATCAGTTCAGTCATGGCAGACAAAACAAAACTGTGATGGACCAGAATTTGCAAAATATGGGTGCTTAGTAGGAGCTCTGGTGGGGTAATGGTTAAGGCATTTGGCTGTTAACCAAAAAGATCAGTGGTTCAAACCCACCAGCTGCTCCATGGAAGAAAGATGAAGCAATCCACTTCCATAAAGATTTATAGCCTTAGAAACCCAACAGAGGTCGCTATGAGTCAGAATCAACTGGAAGGCAGTGAGTTTAGCTTTTTTTTTTGGTTTTGGAATAATAACTGGAATGGGAAAAATTATAGGTCAAAGCCCTGAAATGAGAGACTCAGAAGAGACAGGAGCCTGATGTGGGATGCTGGATTATTGCCAGGACTAGGGAGGGAGCTCTGGTGGCATAGTGCCTAAGGCATTTCACTGCTAACCAGAAGGCTGGCAGTTCAGACCCACCAGCCACTCCTCAGAAGGAAGGTTGGGCAATCTACTTCTGTAGTGATACTGCCTCAGAAACCCAAGGAGGGGTCGCTAAGAGTCTGATCTGAATCAATGGCAGTGCATTTGGTTTTTTGGTTTGGTAGGGAGGGAGCATGACACAAATTCAAAGAGGTGTGGTCAGCTTCCATCTTTGAGTAGGGCACCATTGTTTCTGATTCTGCCAGGGTAGAGATTTGGTTGTTATGCAGCATATATGCTGCCCTTATTTTTTAAGAGGAAAATAAGTTTCTAGCAGGGCATCAGCTTGTAATTTCCCCTGTTTAGTTATCATTTCAGGCATCCATGTTTTGCAAATTCTGGTCTGTCCCAGTTTCATATCATCAGCCATGACTGAACTAGGAAGAATTGGTCCAAAGCCCTGATGGTAAATAACAACTACTGTAACTACTACTACCTGCCTCCCAGGGAAGTGGCAAAGAGTAAATAAGATGATCGCATGTAGGATACACCACCATTACTGCCAGGTGCACTGCTAATCAAACAGGCCAAGAGTGGGGCATAAGCCTGATCACCACCCTAGGGTTCAGATCTCACCAGTTGCCCCAGGCCAGGACATCACAGACTAACATCTGAAAGGCCTCCGAGAGACTCTTAATTGGGTGGAAACATATTAGAGGAAGGATTAGGTGCAGAGTGTAGGGGTTTGTTCTGAGCTAAGGCTGAGTGATTAATTAGTGCTCTGGGGACAACTTGTTCTCTCCAGGAGAAGAAACCCACTGGCTGAGAAGAGAAGAAAGGCTTCATTCAGAAAGTCCATGGTGAGCACACACAGAAGAATAATCACAGGAAGTGTACTTCTGATCAGAGCCCTGTCCATTCCCCACAAAACAACATTCATATTCACCAAGAAGCACTTAGGGAGTTGTGAGTGAGCCAGAGGCAGGAAGAAAGGACAAGGGAAAAACCTTAGAGGGTTTTTCTAGATAGAGGTTTGGATGGAAGATCCTTTGCAACATTTCATTTGGTTGGGGGAGTTGGCAAAAAGGGGGCTAGAATATAATTTATAACAATGTACAATCCCAAATAGTAAATAATAGGCAGAGCTCTTTCTAGTTAGCAAGCAACCATGTTCTAGAATAAGAGTTGACGTTGTACTGAAAAAAAAAAAAAACATATTAGGGTATGTGCAATTCAGGACTTACTAACATCCTGCCTACGAATGCTCCAAGAAACCAAAACAAAACAAAAAACAGTTGTCATCAACTCAATTCCAATTTATGGCAACCCCATGTGTGCAGAGTAGAACCTAACTCCATAGAGTTTTCAAAGATGTGACCTTCCAGAAGCAGATTGCCAAGTTGTTGTCTTGAGATGCCTCTGGTTAGTTCAAACTGCCAACCTTTCAGTTAGCAGTAGAGCATGTAACTGATTGCATCACCAGGGGACTATATGTCCCAACTAGCAGAGCTAATATAAAGTAAGTTTACTGGATGGCAATCAAACAGCTGTTAGAAGAGGAACAACCATGAATGTCATGTTCAAAAATGGATGGAATGCTTACCAGAGAGGTTTGTAGCACAAGCTCTGGGAAAGATGTACTGGGGAAATTCTATGGTCCCTTGTAATCCAGAAAGTAAAGAGAGTGTAGCCACTCCAGCAACTAAGGGAACTGACATCAGATCATAAATGACTAAGTATGTTCACGAGAATGATCAGTCTTTCCTCTTGTGGGCCCCACAAGGAGCTGAACCATTAATTGTGGTTAATAATGAGCACAAAACTGAGAACTAGGGCAAAACTCAAAACTCTGTAATCTAAAGAGATAAGAATTGGATAGGTCTACCCTCTTATCTAGGGCAGGAATCCCTTTTACAACACACTATGTGGCTTTTGTTTGAACATTTCTACAGAGGAACTTTGGGCAGCCTGTTCCACTGCAGTACAGCTCTAATTACTCAAAAGTTCTTCCCTATCCTGAGCTGAAGACCTTTTCACTGTAACGTCTATCCCTCTAGTTCTACTCTCAGGCCTTCAGATGTTTAAATAGTGTTGTTCTAGTGATAGCCAACCTCTATCTTTTTTTTTTTTTTTTTTTCCCAGGCTAAACCCTTTTCCTTCAAATAATCTTGTAATGATAAGGTTATTATCCAGATCTCTCTTCTCTGGACCAATTTACCAATATCTACCTTCAAATAACTGGGAAAATACACCAGGTATGTTCAAACTAGTGCAAATTGCAGTGAGACCTTTTTTGAATCAGTGCACCACACTTTCACAGACCACTTGGTAATTGTGTCATAGTACTGGCTCCTATTGGCTGGTGACTAATGCCCTCAAGTTCTTATTCACATGAAAACCTTTCATATTAGGCTCCTCATGGCAATCCTATGCTTAAGAAATGAATCCTTTCTAATATAAATGTATAACATCACATTTTCTTTTTTAAATAATATAATCTTGTTGGATTCCACCCTGTTCTATTCAAAATAATACTGAATCTTGATTTAATCACCAAAAGTACTCTCTATTGCTTCTCATGTGGATGTCCACCATTAGTTTGATAGATATGGTGAAAAAAAAAAAAAAACTTCTACTTTTGTGAAAACAACCCAAGAGTCCATCAACAGATGAAGAGAAACAAAATGTGATACATACATTCATTGGAATAGTATTCAGATATAAAGAGACTATGACATTGATGAGCCTTGAAAACAAAATCAAAAAAGTTAGAAACAAAAGGACAAATACTGCATGATCCCAATTATATGAAAAATCTAGAATAGGTAAATGCATAGAAACCAAAGTAGATTCATGGTTACCAGGGACTGAGGCAGGGAAAAATGGAGAGTATTGCTTAACGGGTACTAAGTTTCTCTTTGGGGTGATGAAAAGCATTTGAAAATGGATAACGGTAATGGTTGCACAGTATGGTGAATGCAGTCAGTGTCACTGAGTTCTACACTTAAACAAATGGCAAACTTTGTTATACAGATTTTATCACAGTAATTTAAAAAATAAATTAAAAAACAACTACTTTTCATCCAACTTGTTGATAAAAATAGTAAACAAGGATAGACCAAAAGCCCTGTGATACACTAGGTGAAACCTCCTTTTACTCAACATCAATACAGTCAACTTTCTTTGGGCACAGAAGTTTAATTTGCTACAGCAGATCTACTCCCCCTCTCTCGACCATTCCCTAACAGTGGTATCTCATAGACACTACATGAAGCAGACCCTGACTAGTCCTCATATCCTGAGTGCCTACCATACTCTCAACTCTTTAAACTAGCTCTGAGGAGCCTCAGTATTCTCACTGCAGACTATACATCCAACCTCATTCACCATAAACCTCCAACACATACAATCCACTCCAATCCGGTCAGAGTGGTATTCTGATGTCACACATGCTATATACCATGTCATACAACCTTCCTTGGGTACAAACCATGCTTTCCCCTTCTGGTTCATACTGTACTTAACCTTTAAGGTATGGCTTAAGTCCTAAGTCCACCATGCAGTGCTCCCAACAAAATGGTTTCTCATATACTGACTTCTCCCCTTACTTGGACATCAAAGGCCTTTAGAATAGGTACCTCTCATTTCTTGGATGAACATCTTGTCTTTCTACTCAATCTTCAAGCCCAGAGGTCTGTCAATTTCCTATTTCTCTTCAGTTTCCCACAGCTTTGGCATGTGGTAGAAGCGCAACCATATTCAAACATTTCACCCCACCTCCTCTCTTCTTTGCTTCCTTTCTCTCCCTCCTCATTTGATCTTACCTTTCCTCCCGCACTCGAGGACTCAGGAACCGGCTCGAATCATCATCGTGGCTGCTTTGCTGGCTACTCTGCTGGCTGCTGAGGAAAGATACAGGATATAAACTGTTAACGCTCAGCTTCTTTCTCAACCCTGGGGAAGATTATGTAGACATCAAGTGGACAAAGACATGGGGATTTCAACATTTTAAAGATAAAAGTTTCCCCAAGTAAGCTTAGCATAAACAGTGTACAGGTTGTCCCCAACTTAGGACTGGGTTCTGTTTTGATAACTGCCGTTAAGTTGGTTCTGATGTAAGTTGATTACCTGTTTGTTGTTGGTTTGTTTTTTGTTTTTTTTTTTTTAGTTTCTATTATTATTAGTATTCGTTTTTGGAGGTTGGTATGAGAATCATCACATCAGCAAATTATGCACTGCAACACTGTATGCAGTACATATTACTAACAATAGGATGTACCAAAAAAGAGCAGTCATAAGTATGGTTCAAGGTAACTTCAAAATGTCTAGTAAGTTGTAAATCGGGGACTGCCTATACTGACAAATGGCATAACCTTGGTGAAGACTCCATTCCCCCACATCTAAAGGCTGTCCATTGCTAGCAAGAGAGAAGAGAAAGAGCCTAACTCTTAGCCTTTCCTCCCTGGCTCTAACTCAATGAGCAAATGTCTCCTGCATTCTCTGCACTTGGGTCTCTTAAATCTGTCCAACAGGATAAAAATCCCATTGTTCCCCAAACTCATCCACTCCACAGACTCACAAGCAAATCTGAGGGTGGGAAGGGGAAATCCCAGAAAAGTAAAAGGCTTGATGGGGTCCTCTGGTTTCCTCTGCATACAATGGGGGCTGGGCTGAGGAGCCTGAGGGGTAAAGAGGGAACTGAGGGTGGAGTCCTTTCACTGTATAAAGCCCTTTAGGATTTACATTTTGGTAAAGTGGACTTTAACTGCCTTTCATCTTCACTCCTGGCTCACTGGAGAGAAAAAAAACCCATATACCTGATGAATAAATATTTTGTTAATTGCATTATGCAAGCATCTGACAGTTTAGATCGGGAGTCAACAAACTACAGCCCAAGGGTCAAATCTGGAGCTGTCTGTTTTCATATAACCTGTGAACTAAGAACAGGTTTTGCATTTTGAAACAATGGGAAAAAATTTTTTTTAAAAAAGAAAATTACATGACATACAAACCAAACCAAATGCCACACCCATCGAGTCAATTCCGACTCTTAGCGACTCTATAGGACAGAGTAGTAATGTCCCATAGGGTTTCCAAGGCCATAAATCTTTATGGAAGCAACTGCTTCATCTTTCTCCCACAGACCAGCTAGTGGGTTTGAACTGCTGACCTATTGGTTAGCAGTTATGTCACCAGAGCGCCTTACAGGCAATCATGTGAAATTCAAATTTCAGTGTCCATAAATAAAGTTTTATTGGAACACACTATGCACATTCATTTACTTATTTTCCATGGCTGCATTTGTGCCACAAGAGCTTGAGCAGTTACAACAGAGGCTGCATGGCCTGCAAAGCTAAAAATATTTACTATCAACTCTTTACAGAAAAAGTTTGGTGACCTCTGCTTTATGCTCCAGGAACCATTGACTTTACTCATCATAAGTTTCCATTAACATACAATGAAAAAGTTAGGGAATGGACAAGGGTAATGTTTCAACAAGATGAACTTAATGCCACTGAACTACACATGTGAAGACTGTTGAACTAGCTAATGTTTTGCTATGTTGTTGTTGTTGTTATGTGCTGTCGAGTCAGACCTGACTCATAGCGACCCCTCTTTGGGTTTCTGAGGCAGTACCACTACGGAAGTAGATTGCCCAACCTTCTTTCCAAGGAGTGGCTGGTGAGTTTGAACCTCCAGCCTTCTGGTTAGTCACTATGCTACCAGAGCTCCTAATGTTTTGTTATATACATATATATTTACCACAATAAAAATTTTTAAAAATCCCATTACCAAAAATATCACTATAAACAAGATTCTAGTATAACCAAAACTGATTCCTTGTTCTGGTGGATTGTCCACCACAATAAGGTGTATTGATCTCTAGAAAGCATACCCCTTAAACTAGATCCCCAGGAGACTGGAAAGCCTTCAAACAATCTGTGGAATAATTGCTTGCCCCAGTGCCTGCACGTCCTCAACCAGAAAAATATATGACTTTTGTGATCATACTCATAACCATGCTCTTATGCTCTTCCAGGAAGTGAATGACCTTAAAACTTAGAAGCAATTTACACCAAATTTTCAGACACACATACACACACCCACACACCAAAAACCAGAACATCACCATACACAGAGCTGCCAATTTGCTTGGCAAAGCTAAATGTGCACACAGTCCCTTCATCTTTACCATACACAAAGCCCATCACTTCTACTTTACTGTTCTGATGATTTGCCAATTAAAAACTTAAAGTAAAATTCCCAACAATTTTGCTGACCCCTGGAATATCTTACATTAGGATTGACATGTTCTATGTATCAAGGAGGAGCTCTGGTAGCGTGGTGCGTAAGCACTCGACTGCTACCCAGACGGTTGGTGGTTCAAACCCACCAGCCATTCCACAGAAAGAAGGTTGGACAATCTACTTCTGTAGTGATACTGCCTCAGAAACCCAAGGAGGGGTCGGCTCTGAGTCGGGCCCGACTCGATGGCACGTAACAATAACAAAAACATGTATCAAGGACCCTCTTATATACAACATGGGCAACCCACAGATTATTGGGACTCAAATTCCAAAGCATATACAGCTCCAGAGGTGAGCATCAAGAGATAAATCCAGTCTACATCACTGGCAGCACCTGTGAGCAGTAGAGGGAGGGGTGTCTGAGAACCCAGTGATTTACCTAGTCTCACAGCCTAAGAGCTTACCAGCCCAAATGACCCCAGTCAGTGCCTCTTCCCTAAGGAAGAGGTCAAATTTGACTCAATTTGAGCCAGGCTGTGCAGGTCCTTCCCACCCACCCTACTTTCCCACTGACAATCAAACTTAAACCTAAAAAACCAAACTCACTGCCACTGAGTTGGTAAATCTTTATGGACTTTATTGCCCAGTCTTCCTTCTGCGGAGTGGCTGATAGGTTTGAACTTCTGTCTAGCAGTCATAGGCACGATGCCACCAGAGCTCCTTATCAAACTTAAAGATGAGCTAATAAAAGGTGCTCTCAGAACTAAAACAATCATCTCATGGTTTGCAAAACAATTCTAAGTAGATATTATCACATTGGGAGCTCTGGTGGTGTAGTGCCTAAGGCATTTGACTGCTAGCCAGAAGGCTGGCAGTTCAA